GACGCTTAGACCCAAGCCGTTATAAAATGCTTGAACTAGGTCATGTCGTGCACCTCGGACACGTGATGACGCGGGTGAAACCGCGGCGCACAGCTAGTGTTATTATAACTCATCGTTGATTTCACAGTGACCCGGGTTCAATCCCCGCCAGCGACAGTGAACTGCAGATACTTTTTAGGGTTCCGTACCCAAAGGGTAGCCAATGGGACCTATTACTAAGTCCGTACGTCTGTCTGTTAGCGGGCTGTATCTCATAATCCGTAATAGGTAGACAGTTGAAATTTTTACAGAATGTATATTTCTGTGGCCGCTATAACAGCATATAATAAAAATGGAAAATAAATTAAATATTAAAAGGGGCTCTTCTACTAGAAACTTGTATTACGTTGGTACGGAACCCTTCACTTCAGTCGCGAGTCCGACTCGCACTAGACTGGTTTTTTATGCACTACTTGTGCTTGTAAATAAATAAAAGGAATGCAAAATGCTAACAGCTTTAAAGACTTTTAATGTCTATCATTCAAATTTATTGCTCACTTTAAGAATATTAAAAGCTTACTCCAGCAATATCTAAAATGAAGCTCTCAAGTAGATAAGACAATGTGCCAGTGAATTAAAATTATTATTCGGAAACACTTATTGCAGAAATATTGTATATAATGAAAATATCGTTTTGCAAACATGCTACAATCCTAATAACGCTTTGAATCTTTTGTGATTCGTTTTGACGTAAAGAAAATAACTTGTAATAGTTGAGTTTCCTATTTCGCATTGCTATTAAAGGATCAACTATAGTCATTTACAACGCGAACCATTAAAGAACCAACTTTAGGTATTTGTTTTTAAATAAAAAAAATCAAACAATTTATATCATCATATCACAACAGCCTTTTAAGTCCACAGCTGGACATAGGTCTTTTCAAGAATAGTCAATACGTTGCGCAAGCAATTTGGTGAGCGCAGACCTGATATCGTATCCTATTTACTAGATGGTGGCTCTTTTTCAAATCCAAATGCGTTAATACCATCCTCTCACCTATTTCTGAAACCAAGCCCCACTATATATGTACCACCGTACGACCGACGTATAATAACGGCCAGTGAGGCATTCCATACTCATCAACGGGTGGACGGTTAGTTCGTGTGTCACTTCAATTTTACTAAAAGAAAACCCTCGCACTAGTAACGCCTCATCAACAGTCGGTTAACTTTTGATTCTACGATTTTACGCTATCAGTCTGTCGCCAGATCGTCTCATCCACAGTCAGTAAAATTTTGGTTTTACGGTTTTACGCTCTCAGTCTATCGCTGTCTATCACTACGTATAGGTGAGGTTGATATTTGGAGAAAATGTCAACAAAATCCCTGGCACCTCAACTACAGTGTTTAAAATATTAGTGTATTTGTTACACTAACATTGTTCAGAAGTCTAAAATTGTTCGATTTATTTTTCTACTGGAATACTTTTAGGTATTTGTGTTAAAGGTTTTTAAGCTTGATGACGGGCAGCGTGAACTTTTAAATTGAGATTGTGATCAGCACCCTACGGTTTTTTCTAAACAACCCGTTATAAAATCGTTACTGTTAGTCTTAGTGCTCGACCTACATTGCTACTGACCCGTATGTTCAGAAATTTCGCCTACCAGTGTATCAGATTTTGAGGTTAAAGATAAAAACATAAAAAAGGGATTTGTTTGGTTATAAAATGTTCTTTGAATTATGTTGGATACCTTCGTCAAAGTACAAGTTAAATATGTGAAGAATCGTTGTAAAATCCAATGTATGTATTTAATTAAGTGAAATTAATTTTGTAGTTGTAGCTTGTACTATGATTGAATCTGTGGTTGTAGTTTGGATTATCAAAATCCATAAAAAAAATTTGCAAATTGTATGTGGTTTTATTACCACCAACTGACACGAGGATCGGTTCAGGGGGTCTTTCACAATCCTCTTATTCTCCGAATAATGAAGAGGTAATAAAACCACATACAATACGCATTTTTTTTTAATGAAAATATTTTTTTAATGTTCAAAAAAAGTTATTTCTTTACGTTTGAATACTGACTCTGATGACGCACTGAACGGGAACCACAGGGTTTTTGTTACATGTTGTATAGGTATGTCAAAATATAACATAATTTAGTACATAAGAAGAAATAAAAGATGCGTATTTGACCAGTACTAATAGAATACATATTTAGGCAAAGCTTGCAACTTTCGTAGACTGTATTATTCTGAGTTTTTAAAAAGAAACTACATAAAAAAAAAACTCTCTTTGATAAGATTATGTTGTTATCGAAATGCGGGACAATTAACGAGAATTTTATGTAGCTTGTACGCCATTTTGCAAGATATAATAATTATGAATTTTCAAGTAACAAAAGTGATCTAACAATGGACGGCAGAAAGTTACGTAGTTAAGAGCATTCTGGGTTAAATTTTTGGAGTATTCGAAACTTTCGCTCTACATAAATTTAAGAGCGTTTGACAAAAGTTCAGTCAAGTCATGTCGATACTTAAGTAAAAGCGTGGCATTTGTGTATGTACTAATTTAAAATATTATTTCAATGAATTTATATAAAGACCAACGTGCCAGGCAGCGGTAGGGTAATTTAATTTTATTATAGTTGGTGTTTCGTGTCATTGTTTTACTTTAAAATGACTCAGTAATGTCCTAAACGTTATTTCAAACAACGATTATTTTCAATTTGGAGAAATAAATGACGACATTCTTTTTTACTGTAAATTAACCTAAATAATTGGTCATCAAATTTAGATTAACGTTAAAACTCGTAATGAAATAACTATTATTTGATTTTGAAGAAACAAAAAGTAAAAAGAAATATTATAAATGTTATCTTATTTATTTGTGAGTGGATAGAGGAGTGTAAATTATAATGTGACACATGTCAGTGTACGCATGGTACACTTAAAGTTAAAAAGGTAAAGTTACAGCCTATGTACGTCCCACTGCTGGGCACAGGCGTCCTCTCATTTCTGAGAGAGTTTTTGGGCAAGGAAGTGTCCGCCGCGCTGCCCCAATGCGTGTTGGGGAACTTCACATGTCTTCAAAGTATTTTTTGTCTTATTTCTGAGACATGTAGGTTTCCTCACGATATTTTCCTTCACCGCCGAGCATGCGGTAAATCAGCACTTAAAATTGCAATTAATAATTTCATTAATTGGTACTGGCGGGGGGTCGAACCCGGGTTGCTCGCGTACTGCGCTCTGGTCGCCGTCATACGGATAAAGTCGATGCCATTTTTGAAAAGTGGAGCAAGATCGGCATATTAGTAGTTACGACATAGCCGAGAAATGGAGGATTGACCACAAAACAGTTTTAACCCATTTGGAAAAGTCTGGCTACACAACAATGATCGATATTTGGGTATCACACGACTTCACTGAAAGAAACCTAATGAATCGTGTACTCATGTGTGATTCTCTATTGAAACATACTAAAACCTAACTATTTTTTGAAAAGATTGATCACTGGTGATGAAAAGTGGTTCACCTACGACAAAAACATGCGAAAAAGATCATGGTCAAAGTGTAGTCAAGCTCCATAGACTGTAGCGAAACCCTGATTAACACGAAATAAGGTGATGCTGTGTGTATGGTGGGGTTGGAAGGGAATCTTTTGTTATGAGCTTTTACCGCCGGGCAAAACCATCGATTCTGATCACTACTCCCAACGGCTAATGAGACTCAAGCAAGAAATTGAGAAAAAACGGCCGAAATTGATCAACAGAAAAGGAGTGTTCTTTCATCATGATAACGCCAGACTAAACACATCTTTGGCCACTCAGCAAAAATTGAGAAAGCTTGGATGGGAAGTATTGAGTGAAGAGTCCTGATCTTGCACCTTTAGACCTATCACCTGTTTGGGCCTCTTCACAATTCTTTGGGTAATGTTAGGTTATCAAGAGAGGACTTTCAAAACTACTTGTGGCATATTTTTTTTTAATAAATAGTCCTAAGATTTCTACAGCAACGGGATTATGTCACTACTTACAAGATGGCAACAAGTTATCGAACAAAATCTCACATAATTATATATTATAATTAAATGTAATTAAACTTTGAAAAAAATTGTCTTGAATTTGTATATAAAATAGACTTTTTTTTAAATTATTGTGTTATTAAGATTCTTTAATAAAATAATTATAGCATCGAATAAACATGTTCATCCTTTCTTTATTTCTTGTCACTTAGGTTTCCTTACATTGACGGAGACCTTGGTCTTTATCTTGATAAACGTGGAATCGTATATCTGATACATATGTTTTAGATCATTTACGTGCCGGTAATGATCGGGTAATTATCGCATAGCAATACGGCTCGGGGAAGAAGAAACTTTTTCCCCGAACTTTTAGTACAAAATTATGTAGAACATATCTGTGCCAAACCAGTACGGGTCACCAGTAAACCAAAAAAAAAAAAATTTGCTAGACGTAAACATCCAATCATTTTATTTCGATGAGTCAGTAGTAACACTGCCATATCTTTTAGCAGCGGCACTACGGACCACTGATTCCAGCATTGATTAGATATATGTTTGGCCCAGAAATAATTCTGGTAAAAAAAGTACTGGAGAAATTCCTACTTTGGAGTTTGAAACTAAACGTAGTCTAAGGTGCCAGAGGCTGGTATTGAGATTTGCCAATTCGCCAGGTACGAGTAAGTGTGACAATTACGACCGACGATGAATCGTTACTAACTATTCATGGTCGATGATGATAGAAAAAAAAAATATATTTAATACTACAAAATGGTAAGTAAGTACATATTTATATTAAAAAATATAATCATTGCAACAAATAATAGGCATTCAACCTTACGACCACAAATATCTCAAAATCCGATAATCTTTGGTAGATATTATTTTTAATATATCTTACCTGTGCTCTCTCGCAGTATTAGAGAAATTCAAAGGATTATTTTTGTTTTGTGTTTTAAGATCTATAAAATGTTATATTAACTAAATATATTATACTAACCTCGTAGAACTTGAGAGCATATATCACAAGGTGTTATTTTCTTGTACGTATATTCTTGGAAGTTGTGAGCCTCCGATTCACCACCAGAACGCATCGCATCGCGAGCCGCACCATTCCTCCTATAAATAGAAATAATTTAAACATCCATGCTAATAAAATTAACCTCACAACAAACCTCATTTCATATTTCTAGCAAAACCGAGCCAACTCGTGAGCTAAATTCTATGAATGAATCGTAATTTCTTAAGAAGGCTAAGGAAAATCAAATAATCACTTTATGTCTTCATTTGTTCCAATATAGAATAAATTCAATAATTCCCTGTTATAAATCATTTTGATAACAAGCGGTAAAATTAAAAATTGTGTACAACCGACTTCAATATAATTAAAAATAATTTACTGTCGATTTTTTTAAAACCCGTTCGACTGATTTCGATAAAATCTGAATGGGACCACCTGGGAAGTATACCCATTGTAAAAAAATAAATCCAAATCGGTTCAGGCATCTTCGAGTAAACGGTGAACATACATAAATAAAAGTTTCCGACGAATAGAGAACCTCCTTCTCCTTTTTTGAAGTCGGTTGAAAAGAAGTTGTATTACGTAAAGAATAAAACGTTTTTGTGATGTAGTATTCAGGCAGCGGTTTCACAGGCAGATTTTTCGTGTAACGAGTAATTTATCAAGCTGGTACTTTCCACAGGCTGTCACAATCAGGGGCAATAAATGTCACGGATATTGATCGATGAGGTTCAAGGTCAATAGTACGTGGTGGAGTAACGAGCTGTGCGGCTTCCAATGCTAGGTACAAGACCTAATGACCCCGACTTTCATAATGAGCGTCCATCCTTGAACGTCTACAGTCTACCCGTTTGAAATTATTAGACACTAAACAACGTGCAACTTAATGATGCAAACAAATGAACAAAACATTTAGCATTGAAATTACAAGCAAAGGAAATATTGTATAATATATATATAGCAGTAAGGATGACAAACGAGTACATAGCCCACCTGATGGCAAAAGAATCCTGCAGCTCATAGGTACCTATATCTATCATCGATTAAGAATCAAAATGCAAAAGCTTTGCCATCGCTGAGTAGTAAGAATGCCTTGTTACCAGTTATAAGGGTCTCCTCACCATACGAAACAGCAGCATTATAAGGCCATTTCAAGTTGGTGTTCTGTATTAGCGTGGTTCTTTCCCCGCTGAACTGACCCATTCGTGTTACAGCCATAATACAGCTGCAGCGTGACTTTACAACGTAAAAAAATAGCATCACATTCAGTTGACTAACAACTAAAAAGAAATTGGTCGATAACAGTGCTTTGATAAATAAAACTACTAATTATGTACTAATTACCGTTTAACTTAAATTGTTTATATTGGTTTATATAGATAAATTAGATAAAAGGATCTACAAGTGGAATGGCGAGCTGGATGCTTAAATATAAATTAACAAAAACATGTGCAAGGTACACCTACAGGGTAATGTTACCTCATGGCCATAACCGTTGACACCGCGTGGTACATTTGATTTTTTCTTTATTGATGCAAGAAGAGAGAAACATCAAAATGTACATGATAAATACAATCTGTGATGTGCAAATGTTTATACAAATAAGACAAATAATTCACTGTCTTGTGTGTGCGATTCAATAATATCTTCTACTTTTAAATTTAATGAAATCAAACATAATCAGAAAAACAACTGGTTATGTTAGGTTATCCTACACAAAATAGGCGGTAAAATCACGTCCGTTATGGCGTCGTCATTATGAAATCAATATGGTGGACATGAACTACAAAAATTTGCCACATATGAGCTTAAAAATAATAGTAAGAGTGAGTAATTCTTAAAAGACTTTTTTCTTCTTAGAAGTTTGCCACTAAACATTACTTAGCAGAATCTAATTCTTATAAATAACACTATAAGGTGGTGCAATAATAAAACATGTGTTTTATCCAAAATAAAACGGATTCGATTCCCAGCTAGGAAGATAGATTCTTTCAAAATGTTAATATACTGATTTTGTTTTTATCAAAATCGGCCCTGAGAACCCTTCAAGCCGTTTTTGCTATTCCTATACTCTCGGATTTGACCAACCATGCCCAGTTAAAAATTTAGCAACAGTTCATATAACTCCTATATGTGTAATAATTTAGATTAACAGGCGGTGTTTTTTCAACAAATTTACCTGATTTCGGTAATATATATATATATATATATATATATATATATATATATATATATATATATTCTTAAACTGAAGTAACTAACGAACTGACAGTCCACCTGATAGTAAGTGGCCACTGCAGACCATGGACACCTGCAGCCAACTTCAAACAAAGGAGGCTACAGATGCGTACTATCTGCTACCGAGGAGTGCAGGCCAGCATTTAATTAACCCGGCTCTCTATATCCGTCAGACCAGAACATAGCTGTGCAATTATTTTTATTTTTAAACTGGCTTTACGGCTGGCCTACGGAGACGGACGCCTTAGCTGAAGGTGAATCCTACCAACTACTAAAAAGTAAGATTTCGAGAGTTAGCTTAATAGCTAAGCTAATTTCATAGTACGCAAACGATCAGAGTTCTATCCCCACCGAATGCAATTTTAAATGCTAATTTACTACGTGCGGTTAAAGGATACATTGTGAGGAAATCTGAATGTGTGACCTATAAAACATATTTCGAAGACTTTGTAATATTGTAAAGTCGGCCTTGGAACAACACGGCAGAACAACTGCGCAATAATACTCTCAGAAATTAGAGGAGGCATCTGTCCAGCAGCGGAACATATAGGCCGTAACTATTTTATTAAAACTTCTCAAAAAGATGCAACAAGAATATTATTATCTACCCTTATTAATAAGTCCTGTTGGGTTTTTGTTGGTTCTTTCCAGGACAGAGGTTTTTTCCGAACCAGTGTTAAAAGTAAAAATGACTCAATAAGAATTGCGTGTAATCTAGACGACGATTCTATATTCTATTCTACCGGATACAGCTTCATATCAATCGCAGATTGTACCCGTTTTTACAAGTCGGTGATTATATTAAAATGTTTTGAATGCTCTGATTAATTAAATATTACAAAATAAATGTTTTAATGTATATAAAACACTAATAATATTTTAAACGGATTTTGCTTTCACTTTCTTGAATTGAACACACTCAAAGCAGTGGCACTAAATAACATACATAACTATGTAACTATGTAATAGCTACCAACAAAATAATGTAATCAAATATTGTAAAACATGTCTACTTATTTAATATTAAATAACACTGTACTACTGCATAAAACAGCATTAATTTTTGTTACTAGTATTAAAATTTAATACTAAAGCAATATTATCTTTTAAATAAAACTAGTTTTTACGGATTTTATCGTGTATATTAACTTATATTATATTCTCGACGTTTCGAGCACTTTACAGCACCCATGGTCACGGGACTGAGGTGTTTGACGTCCCCATGTCATAAGTTAACCATGGTTACCTCCAGATTAAAATTACACCGATTCCTTCCAAGGATGGTTCTTGAGGCTATAGAAATAAAAAAAACATCCTAATTTCAATAGAGAAGATGGCTGGGTGCTACCATTTCCTGGGGATTTTATATTAAAAAAAATTTAATCCCAACCCAAGCATACAACTGCAAGAATTCAGGATCCTATAAGTTCATACTGCGTAGATCGGACCAAAAATTAATAATTTTAATCTGGAGGTAACCGTGGTTAACATGGGGACATCAAATACCTCAGTCACGTGCCCACGGGGGCTCGAAATGTCGGGAATATAAAATAAGTCAATATACGCGATAAAATCCGTAAACACTAGTTTTATTTAAATGTGTAGTGTTCGCAAAAACTTTAGGAAATCAATATTATTTTTAAGCATAAAGTCAATATTTTGTTTCGTCGACGTATGCACCTCGTTATCTTGTACCCGCTCCAATAAGCGCCTATTTATTCAAAGCGTCGCAATTTTGTCGACACCTGAATATTCTGAGTGAACTTTCCTGCCTTTATGAGCTTTATATAAAGGATGTAAGCATCGAAGGTGATTTACAATAATTTGCTTTATTATAAAAAATAATATAATATAGAAATTAAAAATAATTATGCCATAAGACAGTGTATATTTAAAGACACCAAAAATAATATTTTAATTAGTATTATGTTTGATACTCCATAAGGAATTCGTTCCACTACATATAAGGCTTCTTCAAAGCTTACGCTTTGAAGAAGCCTTATAAGTAGTGGAACGAATTCCGGTACTTTAATCTAATTTATGTCGAGACATGATATAACAGTTTATATAAGTTATCCTCTACTTCTGTTATAATGTTACATTTGCAGACGATTTATTTTAAAGTGGGCTACAAATGCAACTAATGTCCACAAGAGGTTGTAGTATAAAGTAGAGTAATCGCGGATTGGAATCAATCTGGTTCAATTACGGTCAACATGGCGCACCTTAATACGAAATATTGACAGTTTTATCAAGCACGACATGTCGATGATTGGACGTACTAACAGAAATGCATATGGGCCCATCTGAATTTTAACCGACCATACTGAGTAGAATTTAAAATTGTATAGGATAGGTATGTATTTTACGTGATACCTATCCTATAGTTAATTTAAAAGTATTCTCTTAATTTTGATGATACTGTTGATGATTAACTATAATAAGTTACCACGTGGTATGCTATATGATTTTTTTTCTTGTTGAGTTAGTAGCCATAAAATATGTGTTGCATGTATATATTTGAACTGACTAATATCATGACAACTTAACTGCCCAAACTCACTTTCTGTACTACCCAAGGTTAGCTGGTAGAGAATGCCATATAGCATTAAGCTCGCCTTTTGTACAAATATTTGGTGCAAAAAAGTATAAATAAATAAATAAATAAAATACATATCCAGTAAATATGCACGAGAGGAGAATTATTGTTTGTGTTCAGACGGAAGTCTGATTTGCCAGGTAATCAAAAACAAGCGGAGCTGCTTGCTAATCTCTATTTGTTCTAATTGAAAATGTTGTACTTTGTTTGTTTGTAGAAATCGGATGGAAAAACTTTCCTAGAATGAACTTAATTTGCCTGTATTCATAGCTGCTCATTTAGTCATACGTTATTCTCGACATCGTCAATATTCTATCAAAACGGCGCCAACAAATCAAATAATATTTTGTTGCGTTTTAATTTGTTGCGGTTTTCCTTAGTTTAATCACGTTTGAGTTTAAAGTTAACAAGTATTAAGGTAGGGTCATTTTATTTGAATTCTTTGAGGGTGGATTACATATTAAAAATTATCAAACTGTAACGGGAATCCAAAAACACAAAAATTATTTTTTTCAAAAAATTACGAATTTGTGCAGTAATATATTTACAGCTAAAAGTGTTGTTTAAAATATTGGATGATATGAAAGAAGCAAATATTGAAATAATTATCAGATAAAAAAACAGTCAAATTTGTTATTTAAAAAAAAATTAGGTATTTTCAGAGTTCAAACAATACTTATTATTAGAATCAGGTGTTACTTTGTGGAAATCAGGTACATTAAAGATGTTAAAAATTATTTATCAGTTTTCCCTTCCAACTGGGAGACATTGTTTTTATTTATTACGCATATCTTATCTACATCTTATTAATTTTAACATCTTTAACAAATAGAAAGTGTTGAAGCATTACAATAATCATTTTATAAATGTTAAACGAGTTATAAATATCTTACTTGTCTTGGGGGCCAAGTTGCGGTGGTGGAGCACTTGGCGGCTTCAAGCTGCGAAAGGCCTTCAACCACTTATTCTTCATACTGCCAGCTGATGATGACGAGAGTTTGCGATCGGCTGCCGCGGCGCCACTATCCGCCTTCGCCGCAAATAATTCTCTCTGCGCATAAAGCATCGTATTTAATGCCAGTTATCAAATCAAATTATTTATTGAAGAGACAAAAATATCCACGGATTCGATCGAATTTGCTTTCTGTTTTTTTTTTTGCCATTTAAAGGCATCAGTGTAATTTAGAAACCAACAAATAAAATTTTAGTTTTGCATTGATGGAAACCCTAACGTGCGTGTAACGTTGCAACTAGCATTGTTATCTTTTTATTTTAATATTTATTCAGTATATATTTTTTAAATTCTTATAAGTAGCCCTTCTAAAGGACAACAATTATTCTATTTGATTATTAAATGCATATTTTTCTACTTTGTTTAGAGCTGTATAGGCTGAGGGAGCAACCCGATTTCAATCCCTGCTGGTACAACGGAAATTGATCACAGTTTCGGCGGTTAAAAAATATCATGAAAATCTGCATGTCTGAGATATAAAAAATATATATTCGGGGACATGAAATCCTAAAATATGCACTAGGCAGCGTAAGTGGACTCTTTCTTGATTCTTTACCCTCTAAGAAATAACTGAAGAACTAAGCCCAGTAAAGGTACTCCGCAAATGTTCTGCAGGCACAATTATTTGTTTACACATCAGATAGCAAGCAATCCGTGAGTCCGTGACCGTAAAATGTAATAATTCACTGTTAAGAGCTGTAATTCGGTGAAACACTATGCAAATAAGAAATGAAGTAAACAAATAAATATTCAATTTATTTCAAATGTTTGTCCATTAAAAACGTAATTAAGAATCTTAATTCAAAAACAATACGTAATGGCAGTAAGAACAAACATTAAATCAAAGTTTCGGCTTTAAATTTCACAGTAGATAAACTATATATAATTATATATAAGAAAAACCGACTTCAAAAAAAATAATTTCGATATTATTCCATTGATTCTTAAGTAGGTAGACATAGTGTATCAAAGATCTAAACGGCGACTTCAGGGCTATCATGTGTTTATTTTTATTTTTAAGTCTGTTTAAAACAAAAGTAAAGTTCAGAATAAAAAATCTAAGTTTTACTTGGTAGAGCCATGCTGCAGCTACTCGTATATTAGTAGTATAGTTGTAACACAAATGGTTCGGCTCGAACGGGGAAGGACTACGCTCTCATAGAATACCAGCGTAAAATAGCAGCTTAATGTTACTGTGTTTCGTATGGTAAGTGTAGAGAACGAGATACCCTTTTTACTGGAAACGAGGCATTTCATCTTAGTCCTCACGGCTGACGACCATAGAAATATATCTTATATCTATGGTGATAACGCATCTGCATTTTAATTGATAATCGAGGATAGATAGCCACAGCAACCACTTACCATCAGGTGAACTATGTGCTCGTTCGTCACCCTTATACTATAAAAACAAAAGTTTTGCTTTTATTAAAAAAAATATTTTACCTGGGCTAAGGAATGGGCTAAGGAATAACAATTTCAAGGGAACAACTTATCGTCGGAATAGTTACATAAAAAAAAAATTCATTCGTTGTTTTCCATTCTTATAAGTTCTTAGAAGTTTTTACTTAGAATTTATGTAGGACCACCCTTGAAGTATAACCGATTCAATAAAGGCAGAATTTTAATAATTTTTCTACAATCTGTTCAGTTGCTTTCAAGAAATTCGTTAACATACATAAAAACATACGAGGATTTGTTTCGTTAGTAACCGGTTTCCAGGGGAACACAGAGACGTCCTCAAAACACAATAAGCGACAGTATGTATTGTACCAACAATACACATTGAAATAATATTTTTTCTATTAATGTAATGTTAAAAATATTAATAAGTGTTGTGGCTAGTGTCGACTTTAGACTTCTTTAATTATGTCAACATACATATATAATCTTTCTTCTAGCTATTTGGCCGGCCCATTGCCGTTTTAGCTTACTAATCGGGGCCCACTAGATGGAGTGACGACATCAAATTAATGGATGCAGCTGGCTCGGGACCGTACTTTGTGGCATTCCTTGGAGGAGGCCTATGTTCAGCAGTGGACATGTGAAGAGCTGTAATGATGATGATGATGATATAATCTTTAATTATGTAAACATTTTATAAGGTTAAACTGTAATTGTTGAGAGAAATATAGTCTACATATTATAGCGGTCTCCCGCATTAGGGATTTATTGAAGCGATACTTGCCTTAAAAATGATTTGTAAAGGCCAATTTTTGAATAAAAGTAGTTTCACATTTATTAACAGGTATTAAAGTTACGAAAATGTTGCTCTACTATGTTAAGATATAATGTCTGGTTTTTTAATATGTCCAACGGAAGAGAATTAGAAACCCTCCCTTATTTGAAAGCTGGCGGAAAGAGTCTGTTAATAGTAAAGATTTTCTAACATATTAAACATATTAAAACAGATTTAATATATGAATATAGTAGAGCAACAATTTTTATACCTTTACTATCTGTTACTAACGTAAAGCTCGTAGTGACGACTTAATCATATTCTCTACCCTATATCGTTCCGTGGGTGTAACAGGCGACAGAGGGAATCTGAAACAGGAGATGAGCAGCAAAATTTTCTCGATAATAACTCCTTATAATAAAAAGCTGCTGATGCCAAACTGCCAGCTAAACACGGCAACTATAGGCGAGGCTTATGTTCAGCAGTGGACTTTTATGGACTGTAATGCATGGATGGGTAGAATACCACCTGCTACTACACCTCTTCGTTGTTACCTATTGTTGCGCGCCACTATTAATGTCTTGTACATGGCAACACTAGTTACTACTAGCACCCTCTAGTATCGAGTAGCAGAACTAGGAGAGACAAGATCCTTCTAGAAATTTCTGGACCGATATGTACTCGAACATTCTAGATATTTCTACAGTAGAAGGTTTGGTAATATGTAAGGCCGGTATAGACCACGATCGAGTCAGTATTGAATTGGCGATACAAGCTAATACTTCAAAGAAATACAACTGCGAACTAAAGTGATCAGTAGTACAATTGTGTTTTATTATTAGTGTGGTTTAAGTTGTAATTAGTGCTCTGTAATTAAAGTGTCAATTTTGGTAATTCACTCGGCACTTTTTAATTGTCTCGAACCCACAAGCTCGTAACACTATTATAGTTCACGTACATAGAAATCTAAGTTTTAATAAAATAACGTAGGTCTGGCAACCCCGATCACATACTCTTTTATACCATATTTGCTAATACGCCTGCTAAACGGGACGATTACGGCAAACTATCGCTACAATGGAAGAGACGCATCTTTTTTTTTTCAACTTTTATGGACGGTTAATGAAACAGAAAGTAGATTAGTGAATGTATAACTATATAAAAATTATAAATGTGATAAATTAATTGCTATATGTAGACATAAAACATGTAACAATAACAGGATACGCTATCTCATTATTCAGACGGAACAACTAACAGTCTGCTTCTATATCATATCTCAGTGAAGCTACCGAGTATTTATTTTCTATGAATAAATAATAAAGTAATTGAAATTAATACACCACATTTTTACACAAAATAAAAGCGATGAGCACACAGTTGATTTAATTGTATGTGGATGCAATAGACCATAAAAACCTATATCTATTCGTGATTAGATTCGCTTTCAGATTTAAAATGCAGATTTTTTATAAGATGAGGGTGACAAATGAGCACACAGTCCATCTGATGGTAAGTAGTTGCTGTGGCCCATAGACATCTACATTCATCCTCAACTACGAATCAAAATGCAGATGCGTAGTCACCCGTGAGTAATAAGATGGAATGCCTCGTCTCCAGTAAAAAGGATCTCCGATTCTCTACACTCACCATACGAAACACAGCAGCATTAAGCTGTTATTTTACGCTGGTATTCTGTGAGAGCGTGGTCCTTCCCCGATCGATCCGACTCATTCATGCTACAACTATACTACTAATATAGCTCTACCACGTATAAAGAGATGCCGATCACCCCTGAAACTAAAATAACCCTAGTTACCAGAAAACCAGGGTTTGTTCAGTTTTTATTACTCACTATAACGAACATATATATGTTGCTATTTTACGCTGGTATTCTGTAAGCGTGTTTTCCTGCACCAGTCAAGCAGACCCATGCTGGAGTCCATAATAGCGTGGTTCTACAAGCTCTACTATTTCGACAAAAGCTGCCGGAAGACCCAGGAATAGATAATTAAGTTGTGATTTTTGTAAAAGTAAGGGTGAAAAATTAGTACGCAATCCTCTTGGTAAGTGGATGCTGTGGCCCACAGACCCGCACATAATCACAATAACACACTACATTATCATCATCGTGGATTATGAATAAAAACACAGATATATGTCATCCCTGATGAATAAGGTGGATTGCCTCTTTAACCCTAAAAAGGATTTCTGACCTCTACATTCACAGTGCTTAACACATCATATATATATATATATATATATATATATATATATATATATATATATATATACACACACCTAAATACCTCCAAATAAATTTATTGGTGAATACTTAATTATATAGTCGTAGTAAAACATTTGAGAAAACTTGAATCGGATCATAAAATGTCTTTAGGTGAAATATCAAATTATAATTATCTAGAAGAGCACTAGGACTGATGAAAAAGTTAAAATTTTATAAAAATTTAAAAAAATGAATGTACAAATTGTTTCTATTTTAAAATAATGCCAAGATACTACAATGGCAGGGGTCACAGGCAGGCTTTCAATTCCGAAGAATTTGAAGCACCTATAAATAACTTCTTGTTACAGTATTGTACGCTCTAAGACAGAGATGTAAATGTCACAATTTAATAAAAAAAAAGAAAATGATTGTACAAATTGTTTTAATTCTAAACTAATGCCAAAACACTACAAAGGTAAAGGTCGCAGGTTTTTCAATTCTGAAGAATTTGAAGTACCTATTAAGATAAAGGAGAGAAGTGGCAACTTTAAAAATGTCTCTGTAATCAACTTTCAACATTTCTTATAAATGTCTCCTATAATTTTAATAATAAATAATAAGCAATGGGGACAG